TGGATTGTGATGTGGAGTACTTTGAACTTTAATCCTGAAGTTTGAATGAAAAATTTTGGTGTTTTACTGATCTATTTTAGGATTCAGTTCAGAAATGATTTGAATCTGAAATTCCTTTGTATATATTGATTTCGGTTTAATCGGTCTCCAAACCAAAAACCCGATTGTTTATTCAGTTTGGTTCGGTTCAGAGACATATATAAAATCTTCAGTTTGGTTTCAGGCGGGTCTTGCAGGGGAATTCACCCGAACTGCGTCAAATCCAAGTATAAGGTCGATTTGATACACTATCCCTAGAATTGGAGGGAGCTCATTAGGCAACTCATCAGGAAATACTTCCTTGAACTATTGGAATAGCTTTTGAAACACCTTAGGTGAATCGTTAGTAGAATCGGTTAGCACATAATATTTATCATTGAATAACACTAAATACATACCTTTACCTTTTTTTTAAAAAAAAAAGAGAACCAGGGCGGTATCTGGCGGGCATCTCCCCGATTTTATTAATTAAAACGTAAAAAAAATTATAATGGCAGTGTTTGAGACTTACCCAAAAGGAAGAGTTTGTCGTACAAAGATTTTCTAAAATTTCATGACAGTTCTGTGAAGTACTTACTAAGAGGCTGCCTCACAAAGATTACACTAAAATCCCATGGCATCAGTCTATTTTACAAAAATCTTACAAGAATCTCATAACAGTTCCCCTATACTACTTTTTTACTATCTAAAAACTTATCTAATCCTTAAGTAAGGATAAGATTGCTTATCTAAATTAATTTTAACTCTCAATGATGCTGGGAGATGTTCCGAATATTTGAATTGCATTGAATCTCCTGTTGATACTTTTTTTTCCAGTTCATCCGTCACACTGTTTACCCCTCGAAAGATATGAGTGGTCCTCGAATTTAAGAAGCATAATAGCTCTTGAATTTTTTTTCAAAACAATATAGTGTCTCCATGGAAGATTTTTACCTGTTTACAGCAGGTTGATTATAAGTTGATTATCCGTCTGAACAACAACTCGGCGTATCCCTCTTCCTTCACAAGCTTTAAGTACATAACTTTACCTTCTGCGACACATTTATCCACTATTCTAGGGCTAGAAAAGAAATTCTTGCCTCGCTTTTGAACTTTCTTTGAACCTTCTTTCTCAACTTTAGAAGTTGAGTCTTCAGCTTCTTTGGAACATGTTCGTCTTTTCTCTCTTTCCTGATACATTTGTAGATTAAATTCTTGAATCTGAATAGATGAAAGATGAGATAAATTATATTATCTATTACAAAGGACTACTTATTTGTAAAACCATCATGCTTGGCTTTGCGATCATACTCTCATGGTCGTCACAACTACCAATGACTAGCTTCCATAGGCACCACATCACACAAAACTTCATCTTCATATTTTCTAATTGTAAATGGAACACTCACTTACTTAGTGACTTTGAGATCAACACAATCGTGCAACAATTGCAATCAATATGCTGTGGGATGATTAATTGTCGGCAACTTCAAGTTCTCAACAAGATAGGAACTAGCAACATTAGTACACGATACGGGATCAATGATAATCAAACATATCTTATCCTTCACGCAACACTTTGTATGAAATATGTTGCTCTTTTGTTGTAAATCCTCAACAACTTGAGTTGACATAGCTCGAAGATTAACAAATATATGACCATCTTCAGCTTTAATTTCTTCTTCCTCATCTTTTTCTTCATCAAAGATAGGTTGATGCATTCACCCTTCTTCTTCCTCCTCTGTCTCTTGCTCATCGACTCCATCTTATTAAATCATCATTGGCTTCATGGTCGGACAATCCCTTGAGTAATGTCCCCTTTCTCTACATTTGAAGCATATGGTTGAAGACTTATTCGAACTACTTGAAGTCTTACTTGTACCAATTCCGGAAGTTTTAAAAATAGGATTAGTACTAGAAGATGTTTTAGAAGTACTAGGAATACCTCCCTTTTCACTCTTTGAAAGTGTAGACAACTTCTTCACGTCTTCCTTCTTCCACAAGGTTGAATATTTTGAGGTACCCGTCTTTTGACAATTATCTCTCCACAGTCCTCACCCTGTGTAGCATCTCTGTGATATCGAGGTAGTGTGACAATTCAACTACATTAGCAATGTTTCGGTTGAGACCTCTAGGAAACCTAGCCATGGTAGCTTCGAGATCTTCTCTTATGTTTCCACGAGTCAATGCAGTCTCTAATACTTGATAATACACATCAACGGACTTGCATCCTTGTGTAAGCACTTGAATCTGTTTCCACAATTCACGATAATAATATGAAGATACAAAAGTTTTCTGCATGAGTCTTTTCATCTCATCCCATGTAGTAACGGGATCTTCATCATAGAGTTTTCTATCTTTCAAAACCATATCCTACCATTTGGAGCCATAGTTGTAAAACTCAGATGCAGCAACACAGATCTTCTTAGAATCATCATAGTTTTACAATGAGAATGCTCTTTCAATCCTTTAATTTTTCCCATGCAAGATACGCCTTGGGATCATTAGTTCCATAAAACTCCGAGATCTTGATCTTTTTGTTTCCAAAATTATAAGAGTTGTTTGGATTACCGCCTCTTTGATTTCTTGCATGATGAACAAGGTTGTCATTACGTCCTTCTTCAGTGTTGTGGTTTCTTCTTTCAGGTGTTCGAATTTCGGATTGCAACTCTTCCATCTCTGCCATCATGTTGTCGACCATAAGGATAAGTCGCTCCAAAGTTTGACACAGAACTTGTTGTGCATGTCTCTCTTTCGCCTTCTTGATCTTGCTCCTTGCCTTTATCGGCTGTTTGAGTCATCTTGAGGAATTAGTAACAAACTCTTGCATAGCTTTGTTACAATAAGGACCGGCCTCACTTCTCCTAACCAAATTCCCCCCCTTACAATACCACTCACAAATTTTTCTCTCTCAATTTATGGGCTTTTATGGCTTTTCGGTAAAGAAAAATATAATCACTCAAGCCTCTTTCTTCTCAACCTTTGAAGTTTAAGTTCTGACTCAAACACAAAAGTTCAAGGTCATACACGATGAGAAAAACAATCAACTTAACTTGTAATCCTTCTTTAGGAGCAATTTTGTAGCACGGAGAATAATTTAGGACGTAGGATAAATAAAATACAAGAGAATAAAGGTTTTTATATATAGAATTTCATAGATAAAAGTTGGGGTCATTACTTTCACAAAGAATACTTATCTTAATCCCTAAGTAATAGAGATAACTAACTTTACAAGTCTCTTATAGGTAAATTCGGTTATATGGCCGAAAAATTAAAGAGGAAGACTCAAATTTGGAAATACTTTTTTATGTGTGAAAAGAAAATTCTATTCAAGGTAAGTTTCCTATCACCAAAATAAATCTGATTTCCTCCCTTTTCCTTTTTATGTTTTTCGGATTTTTTTATTTTTCTTTTTGTTTCCTTTTCTTTCGAACTTTCCTCTTTTCTTTACCTTTTTTTTATTATACTACTTGCGGCTGAAGCTACGGTTTAGGAGTACACTTCGCTGTCTCCTTTTTCTTCAGCAGTCGAGATACCAACAACAATATCAGCAACAACTTCAAACCAAACAAGATCAACCAACAATCAACCCAATACAGTTGGACCAAAGGGTATATATGATTATGAACAACTTGAATATTGCAAGATAAGTATGAAGAACAAAAAAAACGAATTGTCCAAGTGGTGAAAAACTCAAAAATTTTCGACTAAGACTTCCTCTTTTGGGAGAAAAATATCCGAAAAATAAATACACAAAGAAAGACACAAAAATTCTGGTTTAGAACTAACTATGTTAAAACCATGAAACTGGCCGTGATACCAAAAAGATGATAGCAATTTAACAACAAAACCAATACTTAAAAAGTATCAAACTTCAATGATGAATTGACCAAAGTTTGCAGCAAAAATTTGACAAGCTCAAATACTTACTTGAACACCAGAGACGTAGATAGGATGATATTTGACCTCACATGGATCATCACGGGTTCTCAGAATTAAACAACCCAACTCAATCCGATGAATTGAACTATCAAATTCGACCAAGGCCCATTTCAAAAATTTCACAAGAATAGCCAATAGATATTGATCTATAACCTTGGATGTATCAAAACCAAAAGACTACATTGCAATAGACGCCACTTTCTAGCGAACAACACAAGAAAGATAAGTCTAACGATTATCCCAAAAACCCAAAGTAACTACCATACGATTTGCTCTTTGCAAGAACAAAAATTTAGAAGATGTAAACCTCTAAAAATTCATTTTGATTTCAACTCTATGAAATCAAAAGGTTTTGGCCCCCTTTTATAGAGGTGGTTGGCCGATTCTGCAAGTTATCTTAGAGAAGATTCTACGAATTCAAAATCAAATTGGACTTTTTGACTCATAGTTTTCTTTGTGACGAAGAAAATGATTCATAGGCCCAATAAATTAGGTCTAAGTATGAAATGAAAAAATAGAACTCTATTACTAAGTAGACATTCTCGAAAAGAAGCTTCTCCTTGCATCCTCTTGCTTTTGTGGTGGAGTAATTTTCTTTCTTGAGCACTACTCAACCAATATCTTCCTTGTAGAGTATATTTTTCAAAAATATATAAATAAATAAAGGAGTGACCGAACCTTTCCCCTATAATTTAGGAACGGAAAGGATTTGGACTTCCTTAACCTTTAAACTAGGGATTTAGGCGCACACCCTAGGATTAGACGACGCCGGCGGCTCTTGGCCCCTCCCTCGGCCTTGAGTTGAACCTTCTTCTAGGTCCATGAGTCCATTGGTGACACTTGCAACATATTAATAATCTTGGGCTTATATCCTTCACATTTAACACTTTCCTTAGCTTATATAGAGACAATTAGATTGTTAAGGGTAGTTTTCACTGCCTTGGATTGTGAACGAGTAATTGGACCAATTATATTAGACAGTAGATCCCTAATATAAGAATTCTTCATAATTGGTTCATCAGTTACATTCAACCTTTACGAACTCACAACCTTATTACTTATTATTATTATTATTATTTTTTTTTTTTTGGTGTGGAAGGAGGAGTAGATATTTCAAAACTTAAAACCCTGGCGCCCAAAAGGCCAAAATCCCCAAATTGACTCAAATGCTGAACATGAATTGATCCCTTTGCCCTTCAATTCGATTGTTTCTCTACAGAAATGGATGTCCACCGACGACTCGTATGCCCAGAAAACGAAGAACTTGTGGCGTTCATGAAGAATAAATGGCAAGAACTCGCCCAAAGTCCAAAAGGAATCTCAGACAATCTTAACAATACTGTCTACAAAGCCTATTCCAATGTTTGCAATTCCAAAGTTCCCATCAAATCCCTCCCGGACTTGGCAGAAGTCAAGTGAGTAGCCCTCGATTCTGACAACTTTGAACACAAATGATTGATTTGTTTTTTTTTTCGCTGGAAATTTTTAGTAGTTATTATTGAATGTCGAATTAGTCTTGCTTTTTGTCAGGGGAGTGGGGAAATGGCTTCTGAGACAAATGAAAGGGTTTTTTGATTCGGATTCTGCCATTTCTGACAAAGAAGATGTCCCCGAAATTGGTACAGTTTGCACTTGATTTTTCCTTAAGAACATATAGGTTCTACCTTGTCTAACAAAGGCTGCTGGGTTGACATTTCTATTGAAATTTTTGTAGGAAAGAAAAAGAAAGGTGCTAGGCGCTATGTTCCGCAGAAAAATTCAGTAGCTTATGCCTTATTAATCACACTATTCAGGTATACTTGGAAATGTTGCTGACTTTGGCGTTTAGTTGCTTGATGCCTTTTTTTCTATATTTTTTATGTGTGGGTAATAGTATGTGAAGGGACTTAGTTAAGCAGTGTTTAATAACGATTTACTCTTGATATGATAGAGAATTGGAGAATGGGAAAGAGTTTATGCATAAGCAGGAGCTGATCAGTGCCGCTGAAGCTAGTGGACTTTCTCGTGTATCAATTGCGTATGATTTATCAGAGTGTTTGGTTTACTGTTAATCTGTTTGGTTGCTTTTTTTCTTCCTTTCCTTTTTTAAAAAATAATGATTACTATGCACCTGAGTAGATGTTGGCTCTGTGTGTTGACTTCAACGTTGTAGGCCAGAACTAGGAAAGGGGAAGCCTGGCCGATTCGGCACCTCACCGAATAGTTGGTATAGTGGATGGAGCTGCATGAAGACATTGATAACTAAAGGACTTGTTGTTAAGTCAAGCTGCCCTGCAAAGTATGTTGCCTATTCCTTTTCCTGTTTCCCAATCAGATTTGCTCATCTCTATAGGATTCTTGTTTTTTGGATACTCTGAATTTGGTTTTTGTGTGAATAAAGTGAGCCTTGGTAATTTCTTGGTGTGAATAATAGATTTGCTTCTCACAATGAATATTGTAGTGTATTATAGTTTTGTCCTTTATCTGAAATCTACCAACACAAAGAAACAACATGATGTCCAGAGGTTGTTTTGTCCCTTACACTTTAAAGGAGCATGTAATTACGTATGATTTTTGTGCTCATTGGAACTTTTTGTTGTACAAGGATGCAAACATGATGAAAATAGAAGGCTTAAATTTTTCTTGAAAGAAGAAAATAGTGCCCATACTAAATATTTGCTCTGTAAAGATTTCCTTTTGTCTCATGTGGTATGTATTTGTTCAACTATTCTGTTTAGTCCTTTATCTTTTCTTTTGAATGAAGAAACACTTACTTCTGAATGTCTGTCAATAAAACTCAACTGCAGGTTACCTGAAATTTTAAATGCTCCGCAGGGATATAATTTTTTTCCCCTAGTGTCAGTTGAATTGGATGATTAGATGTTTACACTACTGTATTTTCCAAGTTTCTTCTGTAATAACATTGGCCTTTAGCTTCATATCCATAATTAATCCCCAGTACCGAAAAGTCTCCCCGCTTCATGAGGGTATGATGGGAGGGACGTTTGTTCATGCCTTACCCTTGCTTTTTGCTAGGCCTTTAGCATCACCTGGAAAATTTTGTTTTGTGTAGAGAGAATTGGAGTTGAAGTTTATTCTAGCTGTAGGTATAAGTATTTGAATCCTTTCTATGGTCTTCTTCTTGTGAACTTCTAAACTAGAAAAGATGGCTCATATCCCTCGATCAGCAACAAATATCAGGGTCTAGGTTTGTAAGCATGACTTATAATTTAAGTTCTAGCCACCTTTTTAGATTAGTTTGTGCAATGCCACCACAATACATCTGATACCGATGACTACAAGTTCCTTAAGTGTTTTAAATCAGAAAGGTCCATGCTTTATGTTCTCGAATAATGCATTTTTGTTTTGAGTTCTCTGAAAAGGAATAGCTACTTTGTAAGTTTTGCTTGAACAGTCCAAATTTAACTTGAAACTTATATCTGTCTGACCTAAGTTCTGGGAATGTTTAGCTCTGCTCATTAACATTTCTTATGGAAATGTATGCAGATACATGCTGACAGAAGAAGGCAAAGTGTCAGCACGGGAATGTCTTTCTAGATCTCAATTAGCTGGCCAGCCAGACGACTCTTCCCCTGAGCTGATAGTTTCAGGCCTGGAGCCTAGAGTTTTAGATACAATGGCTTCTACTTCATCCTCAAAAGGTTTCAATGATCAGAAAAAACCGATTGATATTCCTCCTGAATCTCTTAACAAGGTGTGCATCTCATGTTCACTCTTTCATTTTTTTCTGCGAAATTTAACTATAGCTGCAGTAGAAGAACTGATGCAGTACACTTTAGACTTTTGGTTATTTTATTGTAATAATGAAAATTTATAGTTTCCACACCATAGATGAAGCCTGCCATGTAGCGACTTTATCAATATCTTTCCACTTTTTTTTTCTTGTTGAGTTTATAAATCTTGTATGGGTATATTCTGGATGCTGTGGTTCTGTCAACTAATTTATGTTTGCTCTTCTAGTTTATTCAAATGGGGTTTTCCAGGGACCAAATAGTCTCTGCTTTTGTTGAGGCTTCAGAAAGATTCAAGACCCAAGACATGTCTTCCCTCTGGCCTGCTGTTCTTTGTCAACTAAAAGCAGACCAAATCTATGGAGGTATGAATTTGGATAGAGTTCAAGGAATCAATTTGCTGAATTACTACATATAGGCATGCTTGGTTAACTAGTGCTTGTGGAAACTTGGAGTTTTGGTTCATTCTGAAATAATAGTAAATGCATTAAATTTATCTTCAGGTGATTCAGTTTCTAACTTACGCGGGAATACAAAAACTACACATGGGGCATGCAGGGGCTCAAAGTCCTCCATTCTTGGTGATGCAGGTCTGGATGTGTTGTCTTTAAATGCAAGCTTTATCCGACATAGCTTGGACTGTATTGTTTCCTAACTGTTTACAGCATCATTTTGTTTCAGTTATGATCCCTTCTGAATCAAGTGATGAGGGAATGATTAGTATGATGCAGAATGAGGTTTTTGACGCTGCAAATTCATTGAATGTGGCTGATTCTGATCTCAGTACTAGGCATTTGGGACGCTGCTCATTGAAAGTAAGCTTTTTGGACGATAAAGATTTCAAAATGTTGGTTTGGATCTTGTAACACTTTAGTTTAATGCACTCATTGCAATGGGTTGTAATGATTTGTTTGGACTTTAAAATGAGTATCCAGAATTGCCACCAAAACCAATAATTCTATGCCAAGTGGTCATCACTTTTATGTCTGTGATCTGGTAACATAGATATCTTATTGTATTATTTCGATATTTCTTTTAATTTTTGGTTTCTATTACAATTTGTCGTTACCAGAATGGAGAATCTTTGCAATCTAAATCAATTGCATTGGCAACACCACCTCTTGAATTTGGAGAGACATTTGAAGATGCTTACGGAGTGATTCTAATACTTGATGACAGGGAACACTTTGCTAACCCAAGGTTTTAATCCAGTTCTCTGGCAAGATGTTTGTTTTATTTTATTTTATTAATTTTTTGTTTGGGCGAAAGAGCTGCGTTCATCCTCTATGTGTTCAACTGTGAATGTCGTCATCAAGAAGGCTAAATAAATTACCTGAGAGAGCACTCCAGGGCTCTACTTTTTGTGAAAAACTCTACTTGTTTAGGCCTGGAATGGTGATGAATCCTTCTTATTAGTCGCCTTAGTAGACATTTTAGGTTGACTATACTCCAAAAAGTAGCTTTATTAGTTTGTGCCGAAAAGTGTCCAATAACGCCTTGGTGATGGGTTTTTTTTATTTCTGTTTCAGGTCCAATTTACAGAAAATTATCCAGAACATCAGTTCTCAATTCAAAATTCCAATAGAGGTAAGAAGTTTTTTGTTAAAAAATTATTTTGACCATGTGTGTACATGGAAGTTTAGATAACTCCATTTAAATCTTTTATGGGATAACTAGCATTTGTCTCGCAAATTGTTTGCAACAATTCCCCGGATTATATTCATCATCTGCGCTGCTGCTCTATTGAAGGCAAGGTTTTATTTTACGTGTGGTCTACTTCATAAGCGGTTAGGTAAAGTGAATGGTTTGTTGATTTTGGTGGCTGTAGAGTATCTGTAGAAATGTCCTGATTAATTTAAAATCATGGTACTGTACGCAAATGACAAAGTGTTAGTTCTAAGATATTTGTGATCAGTACTCGAGTGTAGGATTTACATTTATTTATCTTGTTCTTTCGACAAAATTTATGTTCACATTTCATTTGGAATTCTCTTTCTCTTTCTTTCACCAGTATATTTATCTAGGTTACCAAGATGTGAGTTGCTTAAGTGCATAATAACATTCGGGGATTTTTTGCGAAATGGGAATCTTGTAGGAAAATTTAGACTGCAGATAATATTGGAAATGCAATGTCAAAAAAAAAGAAAAAAAAGAATTGCAGATAAAAAAAACTAAAGGAAAATTTCGATAATGTATTTTCTATCTAGCATCTTTATTCCATCTTTGGCAGCACTTTTGTACAAGTGTTGGTTAGTTATAGAAGTGTAAGCGTGGTTTCCTAGTACAAGTTGGTTGTTAATATAACAGGGTTTACCTGCATTAATGTTGACAGGCCTACTTTGACTTTTGAAGCATTTACTTGAGAGCTTTCATTGTTGAAGCTCTTTGATGATCTGTGTTTTCATCATTTCCTAGGTGAGAAGATTGCCTGTTGGGGATGCCATCTGGGTAGCTCGTCATAAAAGTAAGGGAGCTGAATATGTTCTTGACTTTGTAGTTGAGAGGAAAAGGGTTGATGATTTGCGGTCATCAATCAGGGATAACAGATACAAAGATCAGAAGCTGCGTCTTCTGGTATTGTTTATTTTCCACCTTCGTACACTTATCCATCTTGGATGTATTGACTTGTCATCTTCACCCTGTCATCTTTTCTGCTAAATGCTCAAGCCTTACATTTTGGCTATAAAGGGGAAAGAGCTATTATGTTATATAGCTTCGGATTGTCTTGATTACTGGTCTCTACATCCCATCTGTCTGTCTCTTTCTCTCTGGGCTTTAGTACATGTATCTGCACACTTGCATCGGTGCTAGTAGAAAAGCCAAACATACTCAGACCTATACCTTAGATAGTCCTCTAATATTAGTGAGACTTCTTGCTTCAAGTACCTTGCATATTCTTTTCTGCAAACCATACACATCATTCCATCTCTGAGAATGTGTTCCGTCCCTTCTTTAAACCATGCAACACAGATTTAGATAACAGTATGAGCACGGGTTCAGCTAAAAGAAATAAAAAATCAGAGCATACTTTGTGTCTGTAAACTCAGTACAAGCTTATTAACTATACATTGACCTGTTAATTCCCAGATGGATTTTGTTTTCCTTTGTATCAGAGAATTATGTCAGTGTAACTTGAATGGTCAAACAGGTATGACTTATAACAAGTTTTCTTTTTGGTTGTTAGAGTTGTGGACTCAAGAAGTTGATATATATTGTCGAAGGTGATCCAAATTTCTCTGAAGCTGCAGAAAGTATAAAAACAGCGTAAGGATTATTATTGCTCATTCCTTCTTAAATGCTATCTTTTCTTCGATATACTATTGGCCCCAAATCTGTATGCTTGACTTAAACTTGCAATATTGATTTGTTTATAGGTTTGCGATTATTTTGTGCTGTCTGTGTAGACTGAAAACTGTAGGCTAATGATTTCGTGCTCTGTTAGTCTTCATTTAGGGTGAGAATGTTAAGGTGCCTGAAATGCCAGACTTGAGTTTTTTATTTGATTTGAAGAATTCCGCTAAAATATTTTGTTGAGTGTTGAAACGTAGTCAGTGACACTTTGTGGAACAAATGTTAGTTGGGGCATAAAGAAGCAATGCTATTAGTTGCACAAAGGACTAGGAAACTAAAGAAACAGCTTGATATGAACGTCTGCAAATCTTGGAAGACGTGACTAATGTTTGTTTACAGTTTGAATATAATGAAGTGTTCGATGAATTTCTCTTTTTCTCAGTTGTGTCATCCTTTACATGTCGAACTGTTTTGTTAATTGCTACAATACCTTGTTTTCGTATGCAGTTGTTTCACAACTGAGATATTGGAAGGGTTTGATGTACAAAGGACGAGTGGCTTGGGAGATACTTTAAAGAAATATGGTTACCTTACTAAAGCCATATATCAATACTACAAAAGTTTGGATTTTGAACACCAAAGCTCTAGGGTCTGCCCACCTTATAGTGCTTTCATTAGAAGATGTGAAGATTTAGATAAGATGACAATTAGCAATTTGTTTGCTATTCAACTTATGCAGGTACCCTTTCGAGTTTTCTCTAAGTTAGTAACAAAAAAAAAAAAAAAAAAAAGCTAAAAAGGAAAAAGAAAAAGAAAAGGACGATACTATCACAAATCTCTTATTTAAGTGCAATTTGAGTTTTCGGAAAATTTTCACTGAAGTGTTTCTCCCTGGATATATTTATGTTTGTTATCTCATCTTATATCTTTGTGAAAATCTATAGGCAGCTTAATTCCTTTTCATCTTCCTCCTTTTTTGTTTGGCTTTTACTGCAATGGGTGAAACAACACTTCATTGACGTTCCGCTTTATCTTTTGTTTTAAAAGTGATACGCCTACCCAGACCAAGAATAGTGCTATTTGCTATTATGGCAATCAGAACCTCATGGAAGTACATTGCTTTCTTGTTAATTTGAGATATTATGGATGCAGGTCCCACAGGTAACTGAGGAAATTGCCGTTGCGGTTCTGGAGATTTATCCGACATTAATATCGCTGGCACGCGCGTATGCTCTTCTTGTAAGTTTTGTCTCTTTTTAGTGAAATTTACTCTAAATAGGAAGTAGTAAAAGAGAAAAAGGAAGTTTAAGAATGCTAGGGAACTTCCTTTCAACTCGTCAAGCATTAGCCTTCTCTACTGTTGATTCTGCTATGTGATTTTTATCAGTGCTGTTTGATCGATTAGGTAAATATAAATCTGAAAATTTTATCGTGTGAAATTAAAACTTAATGTATTTCATAGTTGCCTAAAATGACCGACTGAGGTTGACTATCAAAGATGTTGATGTTCGGGTTCCTTAACACAATCTTCTTGGGTCAAACTTGGGAAAAATTGGCGTTCATACTCAAAGTTTTGGGCTCATCATCAATTATACTCAAAATAAAATTAGCTAACAAAAAATCAATAGGGTATAATTGATGATGGACCCAAAGCTTAGGGTATGAATGCCAATTTTTCCGTCAAACTTGTGATGTAATTTTGTTTTGGTTATTGATTTGAAGGACGATGACATCGGCGCACAAGAGGAACTGCTGAAGAAGCAGAGCGATAATGTGATCAACGGAGCTGCTAGCAGAAACATATTCCAGTTGATATGGGGCAATCGAGGTTGCCGGAATTAAGGTGCGGCTTGTATAGGTAGATTGGTGGAAGGCAAAAGATGTAAATTGGTCAATGGTTTTGTCATCTGAATGTAGGATTTCGTACTACTATTATGTCCATCTGACAGAAGTTTATACCAATTGGTATTGTAGGTCTTAACTCATTATCGGCTAGTTTGTTGGTCTTTTATGGTTACAGCAGCGCTGCCCTTAAAAAAAAAAAAACCCACATTAAAATAGTTCATATCGATTTTTGAGATTAATAATATTTTGAATGTAGATTATTTCTTTTGGGCAGAGGATATATTATGTGTTTATTCAATTTAATGTCCAAAAGGGAAAGAAAAAAAGAACAAAAACATTCCATGCCCAATTTAAAAGGGGACAAGAAAAAGGTGAGAATAAACGTATATGAGGGCAATCTTTAATGTAATACATATCGTATTTTTTCTGCTCCATAAAAATGCTTTACTGTATTGTGAAGAAACAGTGAAGACTCAAAATACTTCATTGCACTAAAAAATGCCTGCTCCTTACCAGTCTGATGATTCTGAAGCTATCTTCAACAATTTTGGTACCCGAATTTACAAACTGCAAGAAAAAAAAGCAAAAAGAACGTAACATTTACAATTTTAAACACATCTTCATAAATTTGGACTTAACAAAAAAAAAAATGGTGTTGAATGGTGGGTACCTCAAGTGTCAAATCATTCTTCGTTGCGTGGACTCTAACGTAACCAAACTCTGATACACGAACTAAACTCCAGTTCTCGACCTGTTCATTATGAGCGATAGAAATAACTCATAAGCGGCTCAAGATAATTTGGGGCCTAAAACAAATTTCAAATTTGGGGCCTAAAAACAGAATTTTATGTATGGGTGTTTTTTTCAAATATTAATTTAGTTCATGAAAAGAAAACTCTAAAAATTAATATTTGATTATCAAAATTAATCAATTACAAAAATGGTACCAAAATAGTACAAATACACACCAAAAATTGTACAAACAATAAAGGAAAATGTAATCGTCAATTATATATCACTTTTATGCCAATATACAACATAAACACCACTAGTAAAAAAAAAAAAAAGAAAATTGCAACAAACTAATAATTAGAAGAGGAGGGAGGAGAGGAAAGCCTTTTAAAAGTAAAAACTCATAGACGGAGAACTTGATTATTAATTGCTTAATTGAAATGTGGAAACACGAAGAAAGTACTCCCTCCGTCCCACAATTATTGTCCAGTTTTACTAAAATGAAAGATTTTATTTTTGGTCAAACTTAACTATATTTTACCTTAAACAACTGGATATATCCCTACATAAGTAATCGTTTAACCACTAAGATTTTATGGATAATATTTTTTACTAAGGACAAATGTGTAACTTGATCCATAAAAAGTCAAATTGGACAATAATTTTGGGACAAAATTTTTTGGGCATAGTGGACAATAATTATGGGACGGAGGGAGTAATTAGTATAAAAATGACATTTTATAAAAATGACATTATTAATGGAGGATTAAATAGTTATTAGTTGGGAGACCTAAATTTTAGGTGGATAATTTTGATTAATGTTAAGATAACTTTGGAGTCTTTGTCTCTTAATCCATTTAAATTTTTTAATATTTTTAAATATATAAATTTTATTAATAATAAATAAAAATTTGGGGCCTAAAGCCCTATCTTCACTATCTTTACCCTAAAGTCGGCACTGAAATAACTATACGGCTTATTTTGTTTTGTACATATGATTTTGTTTGAATTTTTTCTTGTCAGTAACATTCTAACAACTCAGATAAATTACACGATCAGATGTCAAGAAAAACGACAGAAACATAAATATGTGAAAACTTACACTGTTTGGAAATGAGTCCAAAGCAAAGCCAGCCATTCCGATAACAGCATGAACGGGTGCAGTGTAATTGGAATTGTCAAATGTATCAATTCCATTTGCATCTTTCTTAGGCATTGCTTGGCATTCACTTTGATACACAGCACATGTTCTCTCATAGTTATGAACATGTCCAAACAGTACCAAATCAACCTTACATGAGACAATAAACCACACACTTAATATACTATTATTTATAATTTGACTAAATAAATCTAGTGAATTGTTTTTTGTTTTAACCATCTACAAATAAATCTAGTGATTGTTTGCGTTTTGTTTAATCCCTAGTAAATTAGGAATTGGAGTGGAATGTTTTAGTGAGACAGTAAGAATAAGAAATTACGAAAATTAATCTCCCTCTGTCCAAAAATTATTTACAGTTTGAGATTTCATTTTTAGTACAATTTGAATTAAAAATGAAAACTCAAACTGAACAATAATTTCGGGCGGAGAGAGTAATAATAATAATAATAATATATTATTATTATTATTATTATTATTATTATTCTAGAAAAATGAATTACTTTACACCTTGTTTGCCAACAACAATGGCTCCACTGCTTGCACAAATTTTTGGTCCACACCAGGAAGAAGGCCAATGCTTGATGAGTACATGGGTCTGTGCCTGTATTCATGATTTTAATTAATCATTTTATCAAAGATAATATACATTCATATATTCAAAATTTCTAAAAAATCTTAAAACTAGACTATGTAATTTATGAGAGGCAATAAAGGGTACTAATCTTAAAAAGTAACATTGTTAAGTACACAAATTAACTCTGGTACTTCGATAAATCCAATCAACTTCTGTTGGGCGGAAATTGTTTTTGAGTGCATATAGACATCTTTCAATTAAAAAGAAGAAGAAGAAGAAGAAAAGCTTAGCAAGCTGATTAGAAAAGAGGAACAGAAAGGCAAAGATTTAAGTGAGACAAAATTAATGGGATTTCTTACCCAGTAAAAATCAGCCAAGGAGTTTTTGATCGGTCCACTGAAGCCATATCCTCATTCATCCAGTTATACTGTCAATGAAGACATATATACGGTTCTAATTTAGGTTACACATTTTAGCCCTTGATCCGTCATATATATAAAAAATGAAAATTCAAAACACATATTTAGTGTTTCTTTTCTCTTGCCGCCAACGTAATGATACAACATATATTAAGAAAAACTCCCCCAATCCAAGAAATCGAATATGGATTGTTTATTATTATAGTAGTTCAATAAAAATATACTCTAAACTGTGATAAAAATAAATGTTGGATTTTTATTCTCAGTTTAAATTGTATTCTCAATTCAAATTGGATAATTATTTTAAAACAGAGTGAGCTCCTTTTTTTTTAAAAAAAAAATTATTATTTAGCGAGGGATGGAGTAATAATAATAAGAAAGAGATTAAGATTAATTACTTGGTCAGAGTTTTGAGACCAATCATGTTCAGTAGAAATGACTGTAAAATGAACACTGCCTTGTTCAATGGAGTACCATGGCTTGTCTTTTGATGGTGTTGGCATTGGAAAATATGCCTCATAAGGAACTCCACACTCTCCTCCCGAATCTGGAGTTGTGTACACTGATCCTGAGTTCACGTAATCCCTGTCAGATCAAAGTATAAGAAATTAAAATTCATCATTATACATAGTAGAATTCAATCATCCATAAACTTTAATTTGTTGAATTCTCTTCAAAAAAAAAAAAAAAAAAAAAAAAAGGAAAAAAAGGCTGTACATATCTGAAATTTTGACTTATAAAATTTAGATTTGGTAGACCATGTAATACTAGTCTCCCTGTCACATTTTAGATGTCCACTTTTGTTATATAGTGTCACAAAGTAAAAATATTAAAATTTGAATATCTATCTAATTAACTAGACTCGGGAGTTTCAAGAAATCATTACTGCATCTATCCGAAAATAATTTTCATGTAAAAAATATAACACAAATCATTTCTTGATGAAAAGTTTAAAAGTGACAACATACATATTGTTTGATGAAAGCTAAAAATCTGAACAAGATTAATTTCATACTGTTTTGGGTTGGGGGGGAGATTATTGAAGTAGTATAATGATCTATGTTACAGTACGTACCAAAACTATAGATATTTCAGTGTTTTTTGTTCCCTTTTTAGCGTTGCAATTTTTTTTTTCATAACACTTTCTCAACCAAAAAGAAAAAAAATCAATGAGATTTATTTAATGATTTTCTTGATCGATTCAGTCACAATAAACAAAAAGAACTCCAATGGTTGGAATGATAATAATTATAAATATACCTTTCGTGATTCCCAATTGCAGTCATGTATGAAACGGTAGAAGCGATGGGCGCGATGAGGTTAAGGAAGAAATCCCATTCTACCAAAAATCCAGTGGCATAGCTTATGTCGCCAATGTGGAATACTGAGTCAACATTCCCTGATGACACTTCATTTGCTATAGCTTCTATCACAGATATTGATCCTGGCTGTATCAAAAATAATACCAAAGACGGAAGAAAAAAGAAATTATTCAATGCATATATCCTGATAATTAATTAATTAGTTCAAATTATGGAAGTACCCGCATTTTGATTGCAAACGTTTGAATTTGTTAAGAAAATTTATCCTTGTTAATTTTTTAGGTTTCTAATTTCTAACATAAGAAACCAGTTTTTTTTCCCTCTCAAAAAGACATTCTTTTGGTGATAAGAAGGGAAATGCGCCTTTTATATTATATATATATATATATATATATATATATATTCTTGTGGTGTCATAAAGTTGGTTTAATTTGTTCAAACAAAATGGGTAATTTATCAAATCTTAAAAATCCTAGAATGTTAACGAAAATCCATTGTAGGAATCGCTAGTGATCACTTGGATTACCTGAATATAGTGCTCAAGAGAAGAATCACGAGGTGCCTTCCCCATATCGCCAAAAGCAATGAAGTTAAGTTCATCTGATCCTCCAGCCGGTGGTGTCCTAAATGTAATTTCACCACTCCAACCAGCTGAATCACTGCGAAAATGAAATTACAAGTTTGGCAAAAAAAAAAAAAAAAAACTTTAATCCCTCTTCTTCGGTTTCGATAAAGTGAAGTTCACTTTATCGCGTTATTTGAATTTAGTAAAGTATATATATCTATATATATATATATTGTTTGTGACTTAATTGGCACAATTTTTTTCTAGAATTTTTTGATATTAGGAGTAATGTTGAAGAAAATATATGGTTTAATGTGTGCATGGCTAATAGGGTTTGTACCTTCCATATTTGTAGGAAAAAGTGGTAGAAGGTTGAAGTCCTGACATAACTGCTGAATGAATGAAGCCCGGATCATGCCACCCAAAGTCCTTAGCCGGGCTCGGAATTTCCGAACCTGTAAAATAGTAACATTTTGGTACAAAGTGTTAAAATAAATAAGATGAATTTTGAAAATGCCACGATCACAAAACCAAGTATCTCACATTTTGCAAAGGTTAACTGAGCGATTTTTTTATTCCTTTTTCACAAATGCCCATGTAAAATGATAATGAACTGCATGCGCTAGAGTCTAGATGCGAAAAATATGTTAGGCCAATTAATTTATTATTTTTTTGGTTGAATTTAACTTGTTGAAATATTGTTATCTAGGCAATTAATAACCATTAAATAAAAAAAAATGAAAACTCTCAAATTGAGTTTTTTTTATGCAATAACCTTATTGATCAAATTGTTACATAAATTGATATTTTATTCCTTCAGTAATTTTCTTTTTGCCATCTCAGACCTTTTTATTTCCACGGTAGAAAATAAAATAAACAAATAGACACGAGAGCTTAATTCTTCATAATTTTTAAGACTGTGTGGGGGGAATTAAAATTTTAAAGTTACATTGTACAGTTATTCTTGAAATTTGATTCTTCTTGATTCTTGGTGCCTTACCGCCCAGCTATCCATAACACACACAGAAGACAACAAAAGAACCTTAATTGAAGTTTTCTTATGAAGTTTTGGCTCAAGTATATGGTATTTTGCCCGCCTACCGATTAGCCACACTGTTATCATCATCTTTGAACATAAAACTTCTAGTTTTCAACTTGAAAGATAAAGAATTGTGTGTTGACATCCAATTAGGGAAAAGACATTCAACAAAAAACTCCTCAAATTGCCCTCTCTGATCATCACCTTCATTGTTATTCTAATTGATGTTCTATTCGTAATGATGAATTAGGGTTTTCTTTAAAAACCATTTAAACAATCTTCATGTGTAATATTGAATGTTGCATAAATCTATACGATTATTTGAGATAAAATCAACAAAAATACTCGAGAATTGAGAGTAGAGAAGAAACAGTAAAGAAAAGAAAACTCACTACACATATCATCTTGAGTAAATGTTGTAACCTGTGATGTGGCGAATTGTCCATTTCCATATTGAACTTGTTGGGGTTGATTATCCCCACTCACCCATGTTACTCTCATCTGAAGTAGTAATTAAGAAAAACACTTGTAATATGTAGAGCCTCAAGAGTGATTGGAAAGCTTTAATAAAACAACAGAAATTAAATATTCATGATAATAAGAAATAGTTACTCTTCAATCCTAAACCCTAACACATATTCATTAACATGCATGGAATAAAATGAGGAAAATAATATCAGAACTATTTGCAATACTGTTATACATTAAATATAGTATTCTCTCTGTGTTGAGATGATTGTCCAGTTTGAATTTTTTTGGATCTTTATTTTTAATAAAAACTGCACAATCATTTCAGAACAGGAGTAGTAGACAAATAAAAACATGCAGATATATACGTACTGAAGTGGCAGTTGAATCTGGACTGGAGAGGTGCGCATAGAGTGGCATTTTGGGATTGGAAAAGCTAACAGAATCAGAGATCTTGAGAACACAAGGAGTTAGAAAACCACCCGCAAAGAAGACGAAGATAATGTCTGTTCTGATGTTCACAACGTGAAATGTTAGACTTGCACTACACGTTCTCACCACACAAACTCCGTCTACGTATTTTTGGCATGTTTCCTTCTTGCAACTTAAGTAATCTGGATCATTGCTTGCATACTGCGCCTGGAATTATCAATACAAACTTCATATAAGAAGTAAAAAACAAATATCTGCAAGACGTTTGAACTGTGCTATTTTACGTGATAGAGCAATTTGCATGGAATAGTTCGTCGAAAAACTTTTACGTACTATCTTATAAATGAAATGAAATTGTGTTGTTTTGTTTTTATGCTAGAATTAACTTTGTTTCCCGGGATTAGGTTTCGATTTCCAGTCCGCATATTCGAGTTAGATAGATTAATTATTGCTCACACTTTGACGACAATTTATACTCAATATCTTATTCTTAGCAAACCATTTATCTAGATTTGATTAGAGTATCAATAAAATCAAGTACTTCCTCCACCCTGAAATGATTATCCAGTTTAGGATTTCACTTTTATTACATCTTATACGAAAAATAAAAATTCATACGAGAATATTTTTTGCTTGTATGTATTTATACGACAAAATTAAATTGTTAAAAATCTTCATACCACAGTTAAAGTACATTAGCCTTTGATTGGAAGGGATAAAAAATGGAGTAGCATTCATATGTTAAAAACCGAAAATGCATTTATACGTACGTACCTTAACAGGGTAATGGCATAGAAGGGGAAGTTTTGTAAGGTCACCAGTTTGCACGTATTGTACTTCATTGAATGGGCAAGCTGATATACTGCAAATAAAAATTGAGTTTGGCAGCAAATTAAATAGAAACGAAATAAAATGAGAAGATCATGATAAATAAAATATTTTTAATCGATCTGATTCCAGGAGATCCATTTCATAGTACCCGCAAATGGATTTTTTTTTTTTAAAAAAAACAATTTTATTAAAAATAAAGAAAAAAATAGGGCAAATGTATAAATCATGCTTGAGTTATAGTAATAAGAAATCACATGAATACATGATAACTTGTTTTGGTCTAGCTATTATCTTGAACAGAAATTCAAATTCTGTCTTAAATTCAAATCTTTATCCAAACTCTACACCTTTTTTAAGTATCCAAGCTTACCTTGTCCTATAATATAACAACATAATCTCTCATCATATTTTTACACGATTTTGCATTTAAAAGAAAACTAGATGCTTGGCCCAGGCATTTCTACTTTAAATTTGTGTTAATAGATAAATAAATTTTTGAGTTGGAAAAAATAAAATAGCTATGCATTTGGTTTTTTTTTTCTTTTTTTAGCCAAAAATAAAAATAAAAATAAAAAATCATCTGCCAAAGGAAAAAAAATATTAAAAAGTACAAGACGATACAGAAACCATACAAAAGAATGTGGAGTAATAAAGGAGATAAGTTTATGACAAATTTAAATGCTATTTTAATTTGATTGATAAATGATAAATGTTAGGAATTAAAATTGTGTAGCTATTTTTCTAAAGTAACTTTTGTTTTTTCGGATAAGATTTTTTTTTCTTTTAAAAAGGGGATGACACGTGGCAGAATGGTCAATGCAATATGGTGCATTTGGAGCCAAAAAGTTTTAATAAGAAGTTGCCACATCAACATCCTGTATTCTGCTTTAATAGGGTAATAAAAGGGATTTGAAGAGACGGACTTTTTCTTTTTTTTTTTAAAAAAAAAGTTTTTAAGGCTAAGTCGTTCGAGTCAAGAACAATAAAAGACGTTTGACAAGAAATAAAAATAAAATTCATATTTCAAGTTTATTTTCGTAAGAATCTCTCAACGTTTAGTACCGCTCCGCATAGCAAGTTTTCCTTGCAATAGTTATTCTTAACGTGGATGTGATACTAAAACTTTGCGATCTTTCACTTAGTCCGTTTGTCTACAATAAATTTGAGCTTTATATTATTTTTAATACATATCTCAAAACTTACTGTAAACTATATATATATATATATATTGTTAATGACAGATGGAGTATGATTTTAATTTTCACAAATAATATTGTGTTTGGAAGAAATAACCTTCCTACATGAAAGAACAAAATAGGTTGAATAATCGAGGAAAGGATTACTCCGTTGATTTTAACCGTGTGAACATATATATGATGAAGCACTTAAAGAATCCCTTTCACTTATACTTTTTAAACATAATAAGCGACCCCTAATGTTGTTTTCTATAATATGATTCGTCTGAAGAGACAGAAAAACAACAAACAACAGAAACTTACTAATTAGTTGAACAGATAACAACGATGTTCTAATTGATCTTACTAGTTTTGTTCCAAATTTTGTTCTGATGTCAATCCAGTAAGTAACAATGTACATTGTCCATGCATTTTAGTAAAAAATAAAAGAATAATATTTATAATTTTATCTCTATTTGATTTAGTGTAAAATTTTCCTACACCATTATCCTACACTAGTTTTTACATCACTAAGTAAGATTCTGATACATGATCGAGTTTATCCAATGTTTTTTTACGATGTAAGTTAAATTTAAGAAAATTAAATAATATATAAATGCACTATGCTTTGGTGGTTTAGAAATGCTATAGAATTATAGTGTAAGAGTTTCTCATAATTTATTCATACATTTGCTCATCATTGGTTAAATGTTTTTAAAGTTCATACTAATCTGCAATGAATAAATGTTAGAGAGATGGAAAGTAAACATGATCTGGAAGCTATCCTTACCCTAAGCAAGAAGCAAACGGCATTCAATGAAGAAACTAACAGAGATTAAACCATCATTTATTTTGTAAAGTTAGTTATTGGAAAAGAAAATAAAAAGGCAATAGTTATGTTTCTATATATGACACCATTTGCGTATTATTTCGTTATCTTTATTGCCATTATTCATTCTCTTGGGATCCAGTAATATCTCCGTGTGACACAAGGCAACAATCACGCAAAGTTAACTAAAGTCAACTAAGGAAAAAGAAAAAAAAACTCCAAAGCCAAAGCCATGGCTTAATTTATAGCTATCACCAAACCTACGCCGAAAAAACAACTTAATTACTTACTTGGAATGAGAAGGCGAGATCATGGCAACCCAGTCACTATCTGCCGGAACCAAAACTCCGCCAACGTCGACCGAAACAAATTCGTCATCAGAAAGTTGCGGGTTTGAACTGGTGACATTGATTTGGAGATACGGGTTTGGATCAGGACACTTAAAAAGTCCAGTTTTCCGATTTAGTAGCCGGAATTCGGATATGCCGGTGTGATTCCGGTACTCGATGGTGATGTCCTCTAGCTGTCTCGACGTTAAAAAAGATGATGAAAATGCAAGAAAGAAAACAGCATTAGTACTAACCGCCAAGAAACAAACCCAAAAAACAAGAGAATGTTCTTCCATGAGGGGAAGAACAAAAGGTGATTGAAAATAAAAAAGAAAAACTAGTTCTAAGTTGTTATATATGACATATATATTGTGTGAATGAAATGTGATTGGAAGCGTGCACGTTGGAATGTATGTCAAACTGAAAGGATTTTTTCGGGAGTAATCTTTAATAAATTTGTTCGTTCTTGTGAGAATATCGGCCAGGTAAATTATTCCGTGATCCAACTAAATCAGTTTGCTAGCTCTTTCCTTACCAAAAAAACATAAAAAAAAAAAAATGAAAATGGCCAACTTTGTTAATATGTTTTATCATTGTTCATCAAGAAGATTTTAGTTATTTACTAGGAGTATTTGATTTGTCTCTGATATACTAGTAGTCAAATAAATTCTAAACATGTACTTAAGTCGCATACATATGGAAAAAAACTACTCCCTCCGCCCCATAATTATTATCCAGTTTAAGTTTTCATTTCTAATACAAAAATTATACTAAAAATAAAATCTCAAATTGGACAATAATTTTGGTACATAGTGAATATTTGTTTAAACTTCTGAAGATAACACGTAATAGCGGACTCCTTTTGGTTATTAATATGAACGCCTAAAAGTCATTATCACCAATATATTTACATTTTAGCAAGGAAAAATATATTTCATTCTATTTGTTTTCATACCATTGATATTATATATAAGTTAAATAACTATGTGAATTTAAAAGAAAAAGAAAATATATTCCTTCTCTGTTATGAAAATAGTTCATATTGAATTTTCATATTTTACGAATTATTATTATTTTTTTTGAGATAAAGTTAGTAATTTTTTTTTTTGGAAGATTTTGACAAACAAATTATGATTTCAAGAGTATATATATAAATCCCATTGAGTGTTGTTTTATACTTCTTCTGTCCCAAATTATATTAAATTTTTAAATTTGTACTACATATAATACAAATCTAAAAATTTCATGTGGATTTTTTTTTTTCAGGAAAGAAGGAGTATTAGAAGTACAATGCAAACTATACAGACATCAAATACGAGACATCATTCTTTTTTTTTTTACATGCGTATCTGGTATCCAACCGCTATCGTTACACCCGTGGGTGTCGACTGACCGCTGACTAATCCAGACTCGAGGCGGGCAGGTCCCTTTCGGGAGGCAACCTCTACCAACCAACCTTTTAACACGGCTGCGTACGTAGGGTCTCGAACCTGAGACCTCTGCTTAAGCTAGATCAGCACCCTGCCAACTGATCCAAGCGCTGGTTGGTAGGAGACATCATTCTTAGGCCCTTTTTGCGACTTTCAATCTTTTGTGGCTTTTACATTCTTTCCCCTAAATTGGACTTCCGTTGTTTAGGCCATCATTGGGCGAGTATTTTCTTGTCGATTTCTTTTGCTTTTTAATTTTTTAAGGCCAAACACTCATGCCAAAGTAGCACTTTCATGTCCATTTTGGGAGTACGATAAAGTTTATCTAAAAAGTCAAATTTTGTATCAACGTTTTTCCCAAATCTGGCATTATAATTTGTGTTCCCATGGCATTCCATTTGTGTGCTAGCAACCAAACTTAGCAAGTTTTGGGAAAATAACAAGAAATCTCCTCCACCACTTTTATTTGCAGATATTCGAACACTCGTTAGATTTAATACTCTGATTATCATTTTGATTTAAAAATCTCAAAAAACAATCCTTTTACACTTCATGAAAGCAAATGACACTTAACACACGTGCCAGCTTCATATAAGTTTTTCTCCTGCCTAAACAAAAAAAAATACATCTTTTGCAAAATAATGATGCCACGTGTCATGTGAACATCCAAAAAAAAAAAGCTACACAATTCTGCAAAATACAAAATGATCACCTTAAACACTCCCCAATTTAAGGATTTTCCAGAATATAGTCAGATTTTAAAAAATCAGTAAAAGAAGGGATATAATCACTCCCCATTTAAAGGGATTTATCCCGGGAGACCGTTACCCTTAATGTTTTCTTTCCAATAAAAGATATAATCACTCTCCGTTCGCAGGAATAGGTTCAATTAAATCCCTAATTCAAGTCTTCAAGGAAATCCCGAATTTCCTGCTACTACTCAAAATCGATATGTGCTAATCCTAATCACAATCAATCACAATCTCATTTCTCAATTTTAATTACACAGAGGATCAGATCTACTCCACTATCTTCTCTGTCTGCGGGGATTGTTCTAGAATCAAAAATCAAAAATCAATAATCAAGACGGGACTACGATAACAGAGGGAGTAATGGAAGAAAAATTCGTCGCGAAAGGCCTTAATATTTTCTGGTGGTTTTTCTCCTCGGACGCTTCTGAAAAACCAGACCCTCCTACCGAACCCGAAGAAGAAGCTCTGATTGCAGAGGTAGTAGGCGACTTGAATCTTATCCAGAATTTATTAGAAAGGAGACAAATTGTTGGAAAAATAAACCAAAATCTGGGTACGAGGATAAACAATTGAGACAGAACAAGAAGTTTAAAGCGGCCGCCGATAAAAAAAGGTAACGACAATATGTGATTTAGGATTTTTTGTTTGAGTTCTGTTCTTTTGGAGTAATTTCTCTCTTTAAATAGTTTTTTTTATCTATTTATTAATCGGTTTTCATAACTAAGGTGTTCTTAAAAAGTGGAATCTTTTCTTTGTCAGATCAATTTTGGCAGAGCAAGCTTTTCTGGTGGTGGATGAGGAGTTGGTCGATGGAAAGTTGGTCATGGAGATCCTCATGTTTAAGGTGAATTTAAGTATTCTTTGATTTGGAAAAAAAAATTAAAATTGCTGTGGATCTATTTTTGTTTGGATAAACGCGATGTTGAACAAAGGCGATAATTAGCTAGATTTTTTACTCATTTGGAAATAAACGAGGATCTTGGTGTATGATTGTTTTGGTCATTTTGATGCCCTTTTGCTATTTTGGTTTTCTGAATTTACTTAAAAACTCAATCTTGCTATTGTCATTGGCGTTCAAATTACGAAGTTTTCTGAATTTGTAATAGATGTCACCCTCCATTTCCAGATCCTCCGTCTTCCGAAACAGGTTTGCCTACCTTTTGATTATTTAAGGCAAACTCTTTGTGAGGATTTTTATTTTTTTGACTAAAATTTTACTGCTCTACTATGATGGGAAATTTTTACTGATGCTTTCTGCTTAGGTTCCCCTTTCTTTGTGTCTGTTTATTGCTCAAAACCTGTTCCCACTATTGTGCTTTTGCCGGGTTATGGTATTTTGCATTTTGGGCCCTGTGTATGAGTTGTTTAATTAATTCTGTTTGGTTATTTGTTTTCTTTTTGCATTCTTCCATGTTGTTCGTGGGCAGGAAGAAAGCTTGAATTCATGCACTGTTGTATTTTGGTCTTACTTGCTTTACTGTATTTCGTGTTTAGTTATATGCTTGGATTGGATGCAACTCTGCTAGATTTGGACATTTAGTTGCGGCTGCACCCATAGGTCCTGTAAGTTGCATTACTTTGTTACTCACCGTTGCTATTTATCCTTCGATGCGTTTAAATTTTTGTTTCCTGTAAAATAAACTTTTCATTTGAAAGAGCGCTTTAAGTTGTTGCTCTTCTTTAGCATGATAGAATATGTGTGGACGAGCTAAACTAAGTTTAATAAGATTTTGAAGAATTGTGTATATTCTTTACATAGTTAAGTGGGTACCGCTGTTATCTGACACCAGTTCGTTTCAAATGATGTACAGAGTAATGAGGTTACTGTTGCTCAGTTGGTTGGAAGATCCACCGACAACACTAGAAAATAACTGATGATTGCAATGTAGCTAGGATTAACAACATGTGATGAATCTCAAGTTCAAAGCGTCGACCGGTAGAAAAGGTAGTACGGCTTGGGATTTATGGTTTCTTTTTTTTTTTTTTTTTCCCTGCAAAACGTTAGCCGCTACCAACTCACCCACCGGAGATTCGCTAGATCAAAAGCCGCCAATATTGAACAAATCGGAGGTGTGTTGATTTTACATTTACACATTTGGTTGGGATTGTTTTTATATTTATAGCTATCAATTTCTTCCTTCCACGATTAGGTTCTGGCCAATTCTTAATTTGGTGAATCTCGAGCATTAATCACTGTTAAATTCAGATTATTTGAACCTGGTGATGAATAGCATTGATGTCCTATAAATTCACTAGAGGTGAAAATCCACTTGATGATGGTAAAATCAGAACCTATATAAACCATTAGCAGGTTTTGAATTCAATGGAAAGGTTTTATTTTTCTTTTAGTTTTGGCTTTTCTACTTGGTTGATTATATTTGTAATATTGTTTTACTGAATATTGCACTTAGCAGGGTTTGAATTTGTTACGAAGGGTTTGAATTTGTTACGAATGCATTGTGACTGATATTTGATGTCGATATTGGGTGATAGAATCTGAATGTTGTGATTGGGTTAGTTCTGTATCTTTATCTTTAATATTGTATTGTTTGTAATTACACTCATACTGTTGGAAACCAACACCAGACTTGAAAAGATCCAGCTTCTACTCTCCATTCTCAAGAACAGCTCACACATGTAAAATGGTTGCTTTGGTTCTAGATGTTCCATTTGAAGGACCGGCAATGTAAGTTAGTGGATTCTGTTTATATTGTGGTTATGACTCAATTGTACTATTGAGTAATGCCTTTGATTTTGAGATTTAATTATACAAATTCTATAAATATTTTTTGTTACACATAGATACAACACACAGAAGAATTATGGTTTTATATTTGAATATTATTTGTCCCTTACGGGTAAGATCCAATGACCAGTTAGAACTACTACATATTAAGCAATTCTCTGTATGATTCAATTCTCAATTACAGTCTCCGGTCTCAAGAGTATCATATTTGCTTTGGACGAGGCAAATAGCGACCTTTGCTCCAAGGTATGTGTTATTTGGTCTATGATTACTAGATATATTATTGTGGTGGAATTGTTCTTCAATTTAGGAAGCTTTCTAATATGCTATGGGTTATTATCAAGAAAGGGAAAAGTGGGGGGTCAATTCTCATTAAATGGGTTCA